TTTTTTTGTATGGTTATAAGAGAGTACTAGTTAAGTTTCATTTTCTTTTAACATGAATCTTTCCAGTTTTCCTAGCACCTCTTGTTGAAAGACTATCTTCACTCCATTGTATAGTTTTACCACCTTTGTCTTGGGTTAATTGACCATATAAGCTAGGTTTGTAGGCTGTCTATTCTGTTCCATTGTTCTATGTACAGTATCTGTTTTTGTATCAGTAACTTACTGTTTGATTTTTATAGCTATTTAGTTAGTGTAGTTTGTGATCATGGAGTGTGATACCTGCAACTTTCTTCTTCTTTTTCAAGATTGCTTTGGCTATTCGGGGTCTTTCGTGGTACCATACAAATTTTAGAATTATTTGTTTTAGTTCTGAAACAAATGACATTGATATTTTGATAGGAATTGCATTGAATCTCTAGATTGTTTTGGGTAGTATGGTCATTTTAACAATATTAATTCTTTCAATACATGGGCAGAGTATATTCTTTCATTTATTTGTGGCCCTTTCAGTTTCTGTCTTCAGTGTCATATAGTTTCAGAGTACAGGTCTTTCACCTCCTTGGTTAAATTTATTTCTAAGTATTCTTTTTGATGCAATTGTAAATGGGATAGTTTTCTTAATTTCTTTTCTGATTGGTCATTGTTAGTGTATAGGGATGTAACAGATTTCTGTATATTAATTTTGTATTCTACTTTACTGAATTCTTTTATTAATTTTATTAACATTTTGGTGGATTCGTAGTATTTTCTATATGTAGTGTCCTGCAAATAATGATAGTTGTATTTCTTCCTTTCCTTTTAGGGTGCATTTAATTTCTTTTTCTTGTCTGATTGCTGTGGCTAGAACTTCCAGTACTATGTTAAATAATTGTGAGAGTGAACATTCTGTCTTGTTCCTGATCTTAGAGGAAAGCTTTCAGCTTTTCACCGTACAGTATGATGTTAGTGGTGGGCTTGTCATATATAGGCTTTATTAAGCTCGTATATGTTTCTTCTGTACCAGTTTTGTTGAGAATTTTTATTATAAATGGATGTTGAATTTTGTCAAATGTTTTTTCTGCATCTAATGAGATAGTATGATGTTTATCCTTGGTTTTGTTGATGTGATATGGATGTTGACTCATCCTTGGATCCCTGGTATAAATCCCACTTGATCATGGTGGGTCATGATCAAGTGTATAATCATGGTGTATAAGTGTAAGATCATGGTGTATAATCTTTTTCATGTATTCTTGAATTTGGTGTGCTAGTATTTTGTTGAGAATTTTGGCCTTTTGTTCATCAGGGATATTAGCCTGTAATAATTTTCTTTTCTTTTTATAGTGTCTTTGCTTTTGGTATCAGTGTAATAATGATGGCCTTGTAGAATGAGTTTTGAAGCATTCCTTCCTCTTCAATGTTTTTGGAATAGTTTGAGAAGGATAGGTACTAATTCTTCTTTAAATAGTTCACAGAATTCACCTGTGAAGGTGAATCCTATGATCCTGGGCTTTTGTTTGTTGGGAGTTTTTTGTTTTTTTTTTAAATTATTACTGCTTCAATTTCATTGGTAGTAATTGTTATTTTCAGGTTCTCTGTTTCTTCCTGGTTTGGTCTCTGAAGATGGTATGTTTCTGAAAATTTATCCAAATTTTTCTAGATTGTCTAATTTTTTGACCTTATTGATCATAGTATTCTTTAATGGTCTTTTGTATTTGTGTGATCTCTTTCCTTTTATTTCTGATTTTATTTGTTTGTATTCTTTCTCTTTTCTACTTCATGTCTCTTGCCAGAGGCTTGTCAGTTTTACTTATTTTGTCAAAGAAACAGCTCTTCATTTCCTGATAAGCCAAGATTGAGGCTTCAGTCTCCAGTGAGTGCACATACAAGAAGCAACAAATGAATACATAAATAAGTGGAACAACAAATCAGTGTTTCTCTCTCTCCCCTCTTCCTCTCTCTAAAATCAATAATAAAAAAAGAACCAGATTTTAATTTCATTCATCTTTTCTATTGTTTTTCTGTTTTCTATTTCATTTATTTCTACTGTGATCTCTATTATTTCTTTTTTTCTGCTTTGGATCTTGGTTGTTTCTTTTTTTTCTAGTTTCTTTAGTAGTAAATTTAGATTATTTATTTTGGATTTTTTTCTGCTTCTTGAGATACATTTGTATACCTGTAAACTTTCTTCTTATAATTGTTTTTGCTGCATCCCATAAATTTTGTAAGGTTGTGTTTCATTTTCATTTGTCTCAAGGTATTTTTTTATTTCCTGTTTGATTTCCTCTTTGATCCATTTGTTGTTCAGAAATGTGTTGTTTAATCTCCACTTACTCGTTTTTTGTTGGTGGTGGTGTTTTCAGTGTTTTGCCTGTAGTTGGTTTCTAGTTTCATATAATTGTGGTCAGAAAATATGCTTGATATAATTTCAGTCTTCTGGAATTTATTGAGGCTGTTTTGTGGCCTAGTATGTGATCTGTACTAGAATATGTCTCATGTGCACTTAAAAAATATATATCCTGCCCTGGCTTGTTTGACTCAGTAGTTAGAGCATTGGCCTGTGGACCAAAGAGTCATGGGTTCAATTCCAGTCAAGGGCACATACCTCAGTTGTGGTTGGTCCCCGGCCCTTGTCAGGGTCATGCAGGAGGCAACCAATCAAAGTGTCTCTCTCACATTGATACTTTCTCTCTCTCTCTCTCTCTCTCTCTCTCTCTCTCTCTCTCTCTCTTTTTCTGTCCCTTCCTCCCTCACATTCTATCTGAAGATAAATGGAAAAATATCCTTGGGTGAGGATTTAAAAGAAAAATGTGTATCCTGCAGTTTTTGGATAAAACGCTCTATAAATGTCTATCTAGTCAAACTGGTCTAATGTGGCATTTAAGGTCATTATTTCCTTGTTATTGTTTGTGTCTGGATGTTCTAGCCATTGAAGTAAGTAGAGTATTAAAGTCCTCAACTGTTATAGTATTATTGTTCATTTTCACCTTTATTTCATTAATATTTGTTTTATTTACGTGGGTATTCCTATGTTAGGTGTATAGATATTTAAAGTTGTTATATTCTCCCTTTAAAATTATGTAATGTCCTTCTTTATGTCTTGTCTTTGTTTTGAAGTTTATTTTGTCTTATATGAGTATTGCAACCTAGCTTCTTTTTCATTTCTGTTTGCATGGAATATCTTTTTTCATCTTTTCATTTTCAGTGTATGTGTGTCTTTCCATCTAAAGTGAGTCTCTTGTAAGTAGCATATAGATGGGTCAAGTTTTTTTTTTAAATCCATTCTGCCATTGTATGTCTTTATTGGAGCATTTAGTCCATTTACATTTGGAGTAATTATTCATAGGTATGTGCTTATTGCCATTTTGTTGTTTTTTTACTCCTTTTTCTTTACTGTTTCTTTCTTTTGATCGCTCTTGATTTGTTGGTTTTCTTTAGTGTTTTGATTGGATTCCTTTCTCTTTGTTTTTTGTGGGGTTTTTTTTTTTTTGGTTTATGGTTACCATGAGGTTCATATATATCCATCTGTATCTAAAGCAATCCATTTTAAGCTGATAGGCATTTAAGTTCAATTGCATTCTAAAAGAACTACATTTATACTCCCCCTCCCCCAACTCTTTGTTTTTGACATAATGTTTTATCTCTTTATTTTGTGTGCTTCCTGATTATTAATTGTAGTTATTGTTAATTTTGCTACTATTATCTTTTAACTTTCCTATTAACTGCGATTGATTCACTGTGATTATTGTATACTTGCCTTTACTAGTGAGATTTTTTTTTTTCTATTTCTGATTGTGGCCTTTTCTGCATGAAGGAAACCAGTTAACATTTGTTGTAAGGTTGGTTTAATGGTGGTGAACTCCCTCAGTTTTTGCTTGTCTAGGAAACTTTCTTCTTCAATTCTAAATGATACCCTTGCTGGATAAAGTATTCTAGGTTGTAGATTCCTTTCTTTGAGAATTATCTCCTGCCACTTCTTTCTGACCTGTAAAATTGCTTCTGAGAAATCAGCCGATAGCCTTAAGGGGTTTCCCTTGTATGTGACTTGTATTTTAGCTGGATTCAAACTCCAAACTTATGCTCCCCTCTGGTGGGCTGTCAGACCCTGTTGTCTCCCGCTGGGAATGCATGATTTAGTAGAGAGCCAAATTTTGTGGCTGATATTGTATGCATATTAGAGGCACCTTTGTAGTGTCTTACTTTCCAGGATTTTCCCCTTAAGTGTCTGATTATTTTTCTCTGTACTTGCCATCTCAACCAACTAAGTGAGCTATTTTTTTTTTTACCATTTCTGTAGGCAAAAAACTGCAGATCTGCAAATCTCACTCATTGCACTTTATCCTTTAACAGCAGATTTCCCTTTGGTTTTCGTCTGGTTTTGGTTTCTCTCCAGAGATTTCAAATATTGAGTTTAAATGCTATTTTCTTAGATTTCATAATTGGTGAGGAGAATTAACCTGACCAATTCTCTGCTGTTATTTCACTTTCTTTTTATAATTTTTAAAAAACTTGGTTTTTTTTTAGCCCTGGCCGGTTTGGCTCAGCGGTTAGAGCGTCAGCCCACGGACCAGAGAGTCCCGGGTTCAGTTCCCGCCAAGGGCACGTACCTCGGTTGCAGTTTGTCCCCAGCCCCTGTAGGGTTCGTGTGGGTGGCAACCACTCAATGTGTCTCTCTCACATTGATGTTTCTCTCTCTCCCTTCCTCCCACTCTCCTTCCTGTTCTATCTGAAGATAAATGCAAAGAATGTCTTCCGGTGAGGATAAAAAAAAAAAAAAAAACTTGGTTTTTTTAGCTTTAATTAGAATAATCCAAAGCTGAGTAATACATATTTTATTCTGTGAGCAGAAAGTATCATCCAGAATGCTTTACTTGTGTTTGGAAAATTCCTTTTAAAAAAAATAGAAGATTGGCCATACATAAATCTGAGAAGATTATATTTTAGAAATGAACACTTGGGAAATTCAAGTTACCAATTATTAACATAAACATTTTGGCTACTTTTTTCTATTATAATTTTAGGATGCCTTTTTGAAAATCATTCGAAATGAGGGCATTAAATCCCTGTGGAGTGGCCTTCCTCCTACCTTGTAAGTTGAAATTTAATGTTTTCTTTTACTAAATGATGGTGGTGTTTTCTTTTGCTTTATAATCAGTATGATTAAACAAAATTGTGCGTTTTTAAGATTCATATTTTAAAGTATTGTTTTGTGAGTACCACAGCCGTCAACACATTGATGACTTGCTAGAAGGACTCATGAGACCTAAAGAAGGTTATGTTCATGTCTATGGCTTATTACAGGAAAAAGACACAAAAGAAGTTAATAGGTATTAGGCTCCAGAGTCCTCCCTCCTGGCATCACATAGGATGCGCTTATTCTTTCAGCATTGAACCTACAGCAGCATGTGAAAAGTGTTTCTACCTTAAAACACACGTGAATTTTAGAGTCTAGGGCTTTGATTGAGGGTTGATTGTATTGGCATGTTCTGTGTTTGTGACCAACTCTAATTACTCAAACTCCAGACCCCTGAAAGGAAAGCAGATGTTTACCAAAAATTCCATCATTTGCACAATTCAGCCTAGACAAGTTGGATTAGTGTTCCAGATATACAGAAAAATCTTATACTAGGGAATGTTCCAAGGGCTAAATTTGGAGTTGGCCACAGGTCAAGCATGCAAATAATGCCCTCCTGAACATATAGAAGACTTGAGCACCCAGGTTTGTTGTGTTGTCTTTGGTGCAGACGCATGACATTTTTTCATGTTCAGAAATTAAGAATTTGGTGTTTGCCCTGGCTGGTGTAGCTCAGTTGGTTGGAGCAGCATCCTATGAACTGAAGAGTCCTGGGCTTGATTCCTGGTCAGGGCATATGCCCAGGTTGTCGGCCAGGTCCCCAGTGGGGTGCGTGCAGGAGGCAGTCAATCGATGTTCTCTCATTGATGTTTTTATCTCTCTCCCACTCCGTCCCTCTCTCTCAAAAACAAGAAAAGAAAAAAAGAATGTCATCGGAATTTTCTCAATACTAGCATATATATGTCTGGTATCATTAATTGTAATTTATTTCCAGTTTTGTAAGCAGGTCCATAATTCAAAAATATTTTACAGTTGCTCTTGTACCTTTTATTTCAGTGGTTTTCATTTTTTGGTAAGTATAAGTGGGAAAAGGAAGATTTGGGAGACCAGAAACAGATACGAGTCTAGGCAATAGAGAAGTATCCTCCTTTATCTTTTCCTATTTATGATCTAGCTGGTACTCTTAACTTATTTTTACAACTAGAATGTAAACTTTTGGAGGGCAGAAACCTATTTTACATTTTTTTTTTTTGCAGCCTACTAAGTTAATAATATTTAAAATAAAAGAAAAATTGATTTCTTTAAAAAATATTTTTTCTTTATTGATTTTAGAGAGGAAGGCAAAGAGAAAAAGAGAAACATTGATGAGAGAGAACATCCACGGCCACCTCCTGCATGCTCCCTACTGGGGATTTGGCCTATAACCTGGACATGTGCCCTGACTGGGAATCGAACCAGCAACCAACCTCCTGGTGCATGGGTCAGTGCTCAACCACTGAGCCACACTGGCCAGGCAGAAAAATTGATTTCATAGGCTGATTCTTTATGGTTTTCAACTTATACAGAATATAAAGAATTTAACTCAAATTTAATAATATATTTAAGCATTTTGATAATTTTATGTAAATCTTTTTGTGCGTGTTTCTAACAGAGTAATGGCAGTTCCTGCCACAGTTATTTATTTTACCTGCTATGATCAATTAACTGCTGTCCTGAGATCTAAACTGGGAGAAAATGAAAGCCACATACCCATTGTTGCTGGAATTGTGGCCAGATGTAAGTAATAAGTTTACTATTTTTTTTATTATTTCTGTTTAAAAATTCTTTTAAAACTTTAAAATTCATAGAGAATGTGTATAAAATTAAGAGTATTGGGAATAATATTTTTCATTTGTAGTTTGTACTAATTTGTTAATATTTATTATTATATCTAGAAGTCATATGGTACCATCAGAATAAAATGGATCAACTCATCCCTATTGAATCTTGGACAGGGATTTTTAGAATGATTTTAGATTCTAGATTTTAGAATGACATCAGATTGGTGTCAAATTGATATCAAAGGCCTGAATAATTTTCTTGTTTATTTTATTTAATAAATTTTTTTTCTTTATTGATATATTAGAGAGACAGGAAGGGAGAGAGAGATGCAAACATCAATGAGAGAGAACACTGATTGGCCACCTCCTGCATGCCCCCCACTGGGAACCAGGCTCACAACCTGGGCATGTGCCCTGACCGGAATCGAACTAGTGACCTCTTGGTGCATAGGTCGATGCTCAACCACAGAGCCACACCGGCTGGGCTTGAATAATTTTCTTTAGTGATTTTGAGATTGAGTTTAATCAGAAGGAAATTTGCCTCTAAGCGGAAAGAATTTTTCTCTATGTAGTTGGAGTGAGGTTTTTGTAGCAGTTCTAGTTGATATATGTATAATATTTTTGGAGCTGCCCTTGAAAGCATTGAAATCAGAAAGAGTAAGATACATGAAAACAGACTTTTAAGAAATACCTTTATCAAGGATTAAAATCTGTACCAATATGTTGGCATTAGGTATTTGATTTTTAAGGTTTGCAGACATTTCAGAATAGAAGTTTAGAATATAAAATGCACGGACTATTAATTTTGCATGTGTGTTTGCATAGTACATGACTTTGTTTTTTTAATATTTATTTGTTTGTATTAGTTGGTGCAGTAACTGTGATAAGCCCATTAGAACTGATAAGAACCAAGATGCAATCTAAGAACTTTTCTTACAAGGAACTGCATCAATTTGTCAGCAAGAAAGTATCTGAAGATGGTTGGATTTCCCTTTGGAGGGGCTGGGCTCCTACTGTTCTTAGAGATGTTCCATTCTCAGGTAGGATTTGTCTTATTAGTATCTGCTAAATTTTAAGTAGCTTTGTCTAGTTTATGTATTACTTTAAAATCAACTATATTTTAAATCCCTTAAGACCAATGGTGAGCTCTCTTTCTTAGTAACCACAAACTCCTAGTTCAGTATTGTGCTCTCAGAGCTTTGTGAGTCTATTGAATGAATAGTTTCTAATTAAAGCCTGGTTTTATTTTCTTCTTGTGTTTAATTTATTCTCAAGCATTACTTGTTATTTATTTATATTTAGATAATACAAACTCTCTTTAATTCTAAATAAGTCATAATTAGTAAGGTAAGTAAACTACTACAAATCAAAATATCACAAAATACATTTAAGATCACCTGTGAATAATATTGACTCTTACTGTTTTCAACTATCAAAGATAAAAAATCTTCCCCATTAAATTAGTTCTCTGTAAATGAGACTGTTATAAATCTGATAGAAGACTGTGCTAATTGTTGAATTATGAAGAGGATGAAAATCATGAAAAAGAAGTGAAACCTAACAGATAACTTGTAAATTTGCATACTTCAGTACTATTTCTCTTGTATCATGGAAGTTTTCATCTAAGACCTGAAATACATATTATTAAGATCCTTTGTATTGATGTTCTGCTTTCTTTTTTTCCTCAAGTTAATCCTTTTCTTTGGTTCTCTTACATTTCTATGCATCTTTCCCTTTTCATTAGTGTTTTTCTTCAACATTTTGTGATCAGTTACTATGTTGTTTAGAAACAGTGTGTAATTAGTTATAGATTCTTAGGCCAAGCGTATTTTTTATTTTTATATTATATGATATTTGACACAGGAAAAGTAACAGATATGAACTATACTAATAAAATGAACACCTATAAAGTCACCACTTCAACACATGAACTAGCACATTGCAATTTGTTAAATCATGAAACCACATACATTCTTCTTCACTGTCATGTCCCCACTGGTACTGCTATATTGTATTTTCTTTATCATTGATTTGATTTTTAAAAACAGTTTTACCACAATGTATTATTGCTAAACAGTATATTATTTGTTTTCTTATTTTTGAGCTTTAAGAAGCGCTTATATTACTAAAATTTTCATAAGGTTTATTCTTATTCTTATTATTTTTTAATCCTCACCCAAAAATCTCTCTCACTTCTATGTTTCTCTCTCTCTTCCTCCCCCTCTCCCTCCCACCCTGTCTGAAGATAAAAAATGTCCTGGGGTGAGGATTTAAATAAAAATCCTCACTCAAGAATATGTTTTTATTGACTTTTTTTTTTTTTCTTAGAGAGAGAGAAAGACATTGATTGGCTGCCTCCCATATGTGCCCTGAGTATCAATTCCACATCCTTTTGGTACTCCAACCAACTGAGCCATCTGGCCAGGGTCCTTTTTTTTTAATCTCATCTAGTATATGTCTAAACAGAAAGCAAGGTGTGTCAAGGTTAGAATGTCTCTTTTCTTTTATAACCTCAAATATTTCCTTTTAAGTCTGCGTTTCATTTCTAAATATGTGTTCATTTTATTCTGTTTTTGTAGCAATGTACTGGTATAACTACGAAGTTTTAAAGAAGTGGTTGTGTGAGAAATCTGGTTTATATGAACCGACATTTATGATCAACTTTACTTCAGGTGCATTATCTGGCTCTGTAAGTTTGTTTTGTTGTTAATATGCCAGAATAATGATAATTGTCTTATTAAAACAGAACAGAATAGATAGCATTTCATGTCTATTGAGATATCACTTTTGAGCTGCATTAAATTTTCTGAGTATTAAATTTTTTTCTGAGTATTTACTGTCCTTTTTTGAGGAAATAAATGACTAGCCATTCACATATTTTAAATGTACTTTGTATCTGTGTTTTTATTATATTACAAATACATTATATTAATCTGAACAACTTTTGGACTTGTTAGATTAACTACAGTTATGATCATTATAATGGTTTAAAAATGCTTCATTATTACAAGGTATTTTGCATTTTTTTATTAAATGCCAGATCTGATTAGGTAATATTTAATATGGAGTGTCATCTCATATGTTTAATTGAATTGAATAAAAATAATTGCATCTCTTTTGTTAATTTCTGTTTCTTTGGGAACATTTTAGCTAAGTACTTCATTTTTCAAAGATTTTTAAATTTATTTGAGAGAGAGAAACACCAGTTTGTTTAACTTACTTGTGCATTCGTTGGTTGATTCTTATGTGTGCCCTCACCAGGGATTGAACCTGCAACTTTGGCGTATGGGGATGATGCTCCAACCAGCTGAGCTACCTGGCCAGGGCTGGCTAACTACTTCTTAAAATAATTTTAACAGAAATTAATTAGAAAGGGAGGAATCTCAAATGGCCATTTTGGGGTTAGTAGAGAGTTCACCTTTTCCCACCCCTCCACATAATGAAAAGTTGTGTAGTAGACTCCATGCAGATTCATATCACCATATCCTGGCCACAAAGAGTATTCATATATCCACATACTTAAAAAAGAATTTGTGATGACTTAGAGTGAGGTGCTGACATATGGGAATCAAAGGAAAGCCAGAGTGAAGAAGCGTAGTGATGAAGACCTGCAAAAAATATTGGAGCAATTGTATCAGAAAACCTAGGCTAAGAAACCCACTATGACTGAGTTCAAAATTTAGCTATGAATATACCCAGGTCTGAGATTGGTCCAATTCAGCCTCATATGTAATGGTTACAAGCCTGTTGAGGCAAAAGAGTCATGGCATTTTTGTTGTTGTTGTTGTTGTTAGCAATTTAGTTACAATGCCAGCAAAATCTTTCCATTATCCCTTTTATTGTGAGATGATTAAATGTAACATATATTTAATTTATATCTTAATCCATCACGAAGAAAAACAAGTGCCGTTTAGTTTTAGAAATTCCTAACATTTGGAATTATAGCACCAATTCCATACTTAACTTACAAATAAATGCTTAATATCTTTTAAAAAATATTTAATAATGGCTTTAGCATGTTTTCCCAGCTTTCCAGTAGTATGAAGGAAAGTTTTTTTATTTTACCTCAGAATTTCTGTTTAATATAAAAAATTTATTTAAAAAAACTTACAACAATCTAGAAAATATTGCTGCCTTTTGACTGTTTTCAAGTAAAAATTTGGCCCTGGCCAGTTTGGCTCAGCGGTTGGAACATCGGCCTGCAGACCAGAGAGACCCGGGTTCGGTGCCGCTAAGGGCACATACCTTGTTTGCAGTTTGCCCCCGGTCCCTGTTGGGGTTGTGTGGGTAGCAAATGTGTCTCTCTCACATCGATGTTTCTCTCTCTCTCTTCTTGCCTTCTCTCCCTTCCGCTCTATCTGAATATAAATGCAAAAATGTCCTTCTATGAGGATAAAAAAAAGTCTCTCTGCAGCAGAAAAAGTATGTCAGGGGCCCTGGCTGGGTAGCTCAGTTGGAGCATCATCCCATACACCAAAAGGTTTTGGGTTCGATCCCTAGTTGGGTGAGTTCAGGAGGCAACCGATCAATGTTTCTCTCTCTCCCTCTCTAAAATCAGTAAAAACAAATCCTCAGGTGAGGATTTAAAAAATAAATAAGAAAGTATGTCTGTTCAGTGGACAATGTCCAGGCTTCCTGTGGGGAAACAGAATAGCCCAAACCACATCATTTTAGAGTATCAAAGAGGCTTATATAAACATTGTTGCTGTTTTTTTAAGGGTCATTTTATGAGAGTATTATGATCAGATGTGAGTCCAGAAGCAAAATAAATAAAAAACGGGTGTTATTTCCTGTGCTTGACTATTATATCAAATATTATGAGACATTCTTAAGGGAATTTAATTATTCTTTTTAAAAACCTTCCTTGCTCAATTAGGTCACTGTGAAAATAATTGTTTTCATTTTGAGATAAGTTTTCATAAATTATTTGGGAATTATTGTAACTATATTTGATAACTGTAAAAAATCCATAAAAAGGTAAATAGAACTAAAAGTTCAAAGTCCATTTTCTTTATTTAAATTTAATTTTTTATTATATTTGTTTTTTTTAAACATTTGTTAAAAAATTTTCAATGCTTGTTAGATACCTGAGAATTTCTGCTTTAGAATATGTATTATACCTTCATGTATAGTAAAGGAATAATGGAAGACACGGGATCATCAGGGGCTGTGAGCACTGGTTTTCGAGTCAGAGAGTTCTGGCTGGAATTCTGTCTCTGCCACTAGTAGTTGTGTGACCTCAGGAGAGTAGGGGGACTTTTCTGAGACTTTTGACATACTCCTGAATTTTGGGACATAGACCTGTTTTCTTTAATAAAAGCTTTTCTTTAAATATATCTGGTTTTATTTTAAGTTTCAGTTTAGTTATGATTTTCACTATTATCCTTATTAAATAATATGTTAATTAAGATAATGTAATTTTGGGGGAAAATTTAAAGGCAGATTTAAATTAATCAATTTTGCTTTGTGATAGTTTGCAGCTGTTGTGACTTTGCCATTTGATGTGGTAAAAACACAAAAGCAGACACAACTTTGGATGTATGAAAGTCATAAAAGTAAGTTTAATTAATTTAAAACAATTTTGAGGTGCCATGAACATTGTTGTTTTTCTTTTCAGATACTAAGTTAAAAATATCTAAAATAGGAATAAGATTTTTTTCCCTCTGCCTTACTCTTTAACTGAAACTAATATACTCTTAGCCTGGAATATCCAGGAAAAAATACTCTAAATCCAAACAAAAATATTAAGAAATCTTAAAATCTGTGTATTTTACCTGCCATCAGTGAGGTCTTATGCCTGCTTTATATAGAAAATTAAATTAAGAGGGGAAAAAGGAGAAACATCTGTAACAAAACTAAATTAATAAAATTTGGAGAAAAAAAAATTTTTTTTAAAAGATTAAATTATATAGGGTGTTTTGTTTTGTTCAAATTAGGGTGAAGGATAGTAAATTATGAGAAACCTTTTTCTCTTAGTGTGTTTGGTTTCATTGGTATGTATTTACACTTTTCCTCTTCATTTTTAGCATCCTTTTTTATGAGTTTTTTTTCCTACTTATTATCTCAATTATTTTTACTTTTTTTAAACATGTAATTTCTTCTAGAACAAAAGTGTACCCTTGGTTGCGTCCAACATTTTGTCAATATTATCTGCATTTTGTTGCAAATCCATTGGAAATTATCCATTACAAAATTATGTCATTTAAGCCTTGTGATAATAAGCCTATTATAATGTAAATAAATTTTTCTAACCCACCAGAATATTTTGCATACAAAGTAAAATAGGTATTCTAATGTTAAAAGAAACATTGGTTACAGACCTCTGAAAATAAGTCTGATGATTATTAGTGACAACTTGTCTTTAATTTACCAGTCTAGTCCCCTCCCCACATTCTTGTTTTAGGTGCAAGCCTTCCAGCTGCCCAAGCCCTATCATTCATTCATTCATTCATTCATTTATTCATTCATTCATTTTAGAGAGAGAAAGACAGAGACATCTGTTTGTTGTTCCACTTTTTTATGCATCCATTGGCTGCTGCTTGTAAGTGCCCTGACCCAGGATCAAACCTGCAGCCTTGGCTTTCATGGAAGACACTCTGACTGAGCTATCCTGTGAGGGCTTCATGCACAAGCTTTATGTTTGAACCACAGTGATATCTATTTTTGCTGGGTTTTTTTTTTAATATAAATTAATTTTTTTCTATTTTTCAGTTATTTGAGTGGTTGCAAATAAGTGAGATGTTACTTGTTAGTCAAAGGATATATATCTGCCCTTTAAAGGAGAACAGGGCTCATCTAAGTTCAAGACTGGCACATTTACTCAGAAAGGTTTTTTTTAGACGGGCAAAGTTTAATATTTAAAAAGATCTCAGAAAGGGCCCTGGCCAGTTTGGCTCAGCGGTTAGAGCGTTGGCCTGCGGTCCGGAGAGACCCGGGTTCGGTTCCCGCTAAGGGCACGTACTTCGGTTGCAGTTTGTCCCCGGCCCTGGTTGGTCGTGCGGGTGGCAGCCACTCGATGTGTCCCTTCACGTCGATGTTTCTCATTCTGTCTCCCTTCCTCTCTCTCCCTCCTACTCTATCTGTACAAAAAATGGAAAAAACATCCTCGGATGAGGATAAACAAACAAACAAAAAAAGATCTCAGAAAGGTTTTAATAAAGCATGATGTGCTATTTTCCTCAAAACTTCTTTTTTAGAAAAAGGAAATTTTAAAATATGTGAATAGAAATATGAAAAATGGTTATCAGGACCTCTCTTGACTTTGGGAACCCCATGAATATTTCTATACATCTTTAAAAAATTTTTTTTAATTTATTTATTTTTACAGATCTTTCTCCTTTTCTTCTCATTGACACTCCCCCCCCCCCCCCCCCCCCCCCCCCCAGTATTGTTGTCTAGGTCCATTGGTGTGGGAAAAAGTACGAAAGACGCCCACAACCAAGCTTAAGAAACAAGCATTTTTTCAGTTCAGGAGTTTTCTGTATAGTCCCCCCTGATTGCACCTAGTTCTATACACCTTTAAACTTACAGCCTTTTTCTAATTTTTCTTTTAAATGAAACCAACTATTACAAATAAGATTTAAAATAACTTTTTAGACAAACTTGTGCTCTTACTATATTGAAATGAAACTTTTTAGACAAACTTGTGCTCTTAGTATATTGAAATGATATACCCCCAAAGGCCATCCACTATCGTATGTGTATTATCTGTATTAGAAATTAAGTGGTTATTTATAATCTTTTTTTTTTAACATTTAGTTTCCATGCCTTTGCATATGTCAACCTGGGCTATAATGAAGAACATTGTTGCTAAGAATGGGTTTTCTGGATTATTTACAGGTAAAAATATTTGTTTTACCAAATTGTTGAGTAAAATTATCACTTGCTTTTAAGTTCTTCCTAAATTAACCTTTCAGCAGGAGATTACTGAAAATAATTCACATTTATGATTTTATAAGTTTAAAAATGTTAAATGATAATAGATTTATTAATAAGATAAAGTTTCTATGTAAAGTAACATGGAGTTAAATTGAGGAGTTTGGGAGTAATTTTGTCTGGTTCTTTGATACCAGTTTATGGCACAGTATTTGATATGTCACTTCATTTAATTTGATCATTATCAGAATGAAACCAAATCAATAAATTTTAAAAAATAAGGAAAAAAATTGTTCTGATGCTTTCTGTTGTCTTCGCAGGCCTGATTCCCCATTTAATTAAAATTGCTCCTGCTTGTGCCATTATGATCAGTACATATGAATTTGGAAAAGCTTTTTTCCAGAAACAGAACACTAGAAGACAGCAATACCAGTGATGCTGTTTCAACTTGAAGTAACCATGGCCACGTAATAAGATGGAGACTCTAATTAGACAAGAACCTTTATTTTATCATACAATGACTTTGTATTTTTCTTGTTGATAATTTAAATGCATAGAAATTTCTACCTTGATTCTAAATCATAATCCTTATTTTAAAATAGTGTTTTCCTAATTTTTGAGATATTTAAAAATATATTTCAGAAATCACAACCATTGAGCATTTTTATAAAGAAAAATTATTCCTTAGCACTGGAAGCAATAATCTCTTGAAAGTTGGTATTAAAGACCCTGTATTATCTACTGTTTGAGCGGGTGGGTTTATGATTGTATTAGATGTTCACTAAAGTCAAACTTGGGTGTACAGTGGGAAATAACATTGTATTTAGACTGGTAAAAATAATGTTTTGGCACAAGAAGGTCCTCTGGTTGTAGCCATATAATTCATGTGTCACTGGAGTTCTCTAGGTAACTCTATTGGCTTGATATTATTAATTCAATATCAGTCACAAAATGCCCTTAATTTCCCTTGATGACATGCTTCTCACATTACTATACTAGAACAACAGACTAAACAGGCAGTTTCCTTGAAGAAATAGCTTTAGGTCACTGTAAGTTAATGCCTAAGTAATTTAATTTATGACTATAGGAATGAAATTAAAAGACTTTGGCCGGACAAGAAATGATTTTTTTTTAAATATATTTGTTTGATTTTCTTAGGATATATATACTATAAGAAAAGCACTTTATTGTAATCTATGTGTATTTTATGAAGATGTGAAACATTTTTTCCTTAATATAGGTAATATATTTGGACTTAAATCTCTAGTGTTCACAGAGGAATTGATACATTTGTATTATAGTAGAAAAGAGCTCATATGTTTTACCAGAAATAAACTATATGGAATTTGTATGTAACCTTCTGTGTTTTTTATCCTGAGTTGATTTACCTTAAATTTGCAACATAAATATCCATAAAAATAAGTATTTATGATTTTAACTTATATTTTATTAAAATATTTTGCTTAAATTAAAAGTATCACTGTGCCTTTACCTAAATATTTTCATATAATGTGTGTATGAATGTTTATTTTGAACACTGCTGTTTAATAGTATTAAATTTGCTTTGGTTCTTCCATGCTTCTTTTTGATAATGTATTGGTAGAAAAAGGCAGAAATAGTGAGATTTAGAACTATGCTTCCAAAACCAGGTACATATTTCAACTTACTCTCACTTATAAATACCAGAAGAGAAATTTCCACCCTACCCCCAATGCTGATTGCACTTGTGGAAAATTCTTATAATTTATGACTAAAATAATTTACATCTAATTCCTTAGTAGTTTTTCTAACACGTATTACATGCAGTATATCTAGATGAAAAGAAGGATGAAAGAAAGTTTCAGCTTTCTCTGTACTTAAGTAGCAAATAAGAATTAGTACTTTTGTTGAACAAAAAAAAAAAGTAGTGCCCTGGCCGGTTTAGCTCAGTGTTTGCAGCATCAATCAGCCTGTGGACCAGAGAATCCCAGGTTTGGTTCCTGCTAGGGGAACGTACCCCCCCCAAAAAAAAGTAGCAACCAAAAAGATTTTGGCTAGAAATTGTGTTCTTGGTAATGTTTCTGAATGGAAATAGTTTAATTTTATTAATGATAAATTTTCTAACATACTTAATTTACATGTACATTTTTAAAGAAATGTCTTATTCAAGTATTATGTTTGCTACTTTTCATATAATGCACATTTGCTTTTTCAAAAGAGTATAGAGTTAAAATAAATTTTACTTTTATTTCTAGGAAAATTATTCACTATGCTTAGTCACATACAACTGTTTTGTTTTATTTTTATTTATTTATTTATTTTTTAATCAGCAGCCAAGGATATTTTCCCATTTATCTTCAGATAGAGTGGTGGTGGGGGGGGGGGAGACAGAGAGAGAGAGAGAAACATCCGTGTGAGAGAGATGTATCGATGGACTGCCTCCCGCACAACCCCCAGGGTTGAACTGCAACCCAGGTATGTGCCCCCAACTGAAATTGAACCCGCGACACTTTGGTCTAAGCTCTGATGCTCTAACTGCTGGGCCAAACTGGCCAGGGCACATAAAACTAAATTCTTTTTTTTTTTTTTTTTAATCCTCACCTGAGGACATTTTTCTATTTTTTGTTCAGGTAGAGTGGGAGGGGGAGAGAGGAAGAAAGAGAGAAACATCGACGTGAAGGGACACATCGAGTGGCTGCCACCCACACGACCAACCAGGTACAAACTGCAACCGAGGTACATGCCCTTTGCGGGAACCGAACCAGGGCCATAAAACTAAATTCTTCCATCTTTTTTCCAGAGCATAAATTTTAGGAATGTGGGAAAATGTAGTCTGTCGCTTTTAAACTTTTTTCCAAAATGTAATCTGTCATTCAGCTCTTATTGGGACCTCTAATGTGATAGGAAGTATGAAAAACACTGGGGATAGGATGTTTCAGGGTGTGGGTGGAGGTGGAGGAGAGTATAGAGGGCATAAATGGTGATGGGGGGAGAAAAAGATAGCAACAACAACAAACTGTCAGAAACTCACTGGTCTCAAGTAGGTTTCAGAACTATGATCATGGAGGCATGCAGGGTGAGTGAGGGGAAAGCTGAGGGATACTCCACTGGTCCTGGGGGCAGAGAGGAGATGGGCAGGAAATGCTTCTAGGATAAGGACTGATGATGCAAATCAAGTATCCCTAGAAGCAGGCAATGGGATGTGTCCCAGCGGTTTGAGCAAAGGGTGTGTACACATGGTGGTAGGTCAAATTGGGAATGTAGTCAGAGGCCTGTGAGCCAAAGGAGAAACAAGAAGCCACCGGAAACAAAGGAAGTATTTTTGGTATAGCTCTAATAATTATTGAATTGGGATTTTGGTTTTTTTCCCAAGATCAGCATTTATTTTTAATGAAAGAAAATAGGATAGCATTAGCAGAGCGTAGAACAGTAAACACCGAGTGTCATGTAGTAAGGCTAGGTGTTTAGTGAAAATCTGGTTTTAGAAAAATAACTGACAGTATGGAAAACGGGACTTATAATATGGTGACCTATTTTAAAACAATTTGAAGTTTGGTTTGAACTAAAATATGCTTTTAAAATATATTGTTAATGACACCGATATAATTTTATTTCTCCCTTTCTGTCAGTTAAAAAGAACAAATGCTGAACCTACAAAGAAGCTACTTTCATGGGTGGGGAACCTTTTTTCTGCTTAGGGCCATTTGTATTGTATAACATCATTCATGGGCCATACAAAATTTTCTGCTTAAAAGTTAGCCTGCTGTATTTGGTCAGGCTAATCTGGTGAGGCTTGTGATGGGAGGGCCTTATATGGCCCTCAGGCCGGATGTTCCCCACCCCGGTAGAGGAAGCGCAAAGTGAAGTAACTTAAAAAAATTCAGAGCCTGGGAATGCAGACTGGTGCAGCCACTATGGAAAACAATATGGTGTTACCTCAAAAAATTAAAAATTGAACTTCCATTTGACCCAGTGATCCCGCTTCTAGGAATATACCCTAAGAAGCCTCAAACACCAATCAGGAAGAATATATGTACCCCCATGTTCATAGCAGCACTATTTACAATAGCTAAGATCTGGAAACAGCCCAAGTGTCCATCAGTAGACGAATGGATAAAAAAGCGGTGGTACATATACACAATGGAGTACTATGCAGCGGTAAGAAAGAAAGATCTCTTATCCTTTGAGACAACATGGAGGGGCCTGGAAAGTATTATCCTAAGTGAAATAAGCCAAGCGGAAAAAGAAATACCACATGATCTCACTTATTTGTGGAATATAATGAACATAACAGTCTGAGCAATACGGTAGACCCAGAAACATGGAAGTAGGGCACAGACTGACATCCCTCAGAAGACGGGGTGGGGGGTGGGAGGAGCTAAACCACAGAACTTATATGCCTGTATGCATGACCAATGGACATGGACAACAAAGCTGGGGGCGTGGGAGGGGGGTGCCAATGGGGTAAAGGAGAAACATCTGTAACAAAAAAAAAATAAATTGATTAATTAAAAAAAAATTCAGAGCCTGATTTTCAAAGCAGTCATGTATTTCAGAGGTAATTCAATGTATTTACCAAAATTGGAGATGTTACCTAATGATAGGAACTTTACAAAGAATTTCCATAAGTTGTAAATGTGAGATTTTTAACAGCTTGAAAACTTGTATATAATCTAATAAAGATGATTTACAAACTGACTTAAGGTTTCTGTCAATCATGATTAGTAACCTGCGTTTGGCACTTACTTCTTACAAACATATGATTTCATTTAGTGCTGACATCATCCTGATGCCTTCACACAGGTGCTGAGAGGATGGTGACGTTCCCACTTGACAGGTGAGAAAACAAGTGTTGGCCATTATCTTGTCAATCAGTGACACTGCCAGGACCACCACTGCACTGTGCCCTCAACAGCTGTTGTGTATTCTAAAGCGGGTCTTATTTCTTTCTTTTTTTTTTTTTTTGTACATGCCCCTTAGCGGGAACCGAACCAGGACTCTAGTCTGCAGGCCGACGCTGCAACCGCTGAGCCAAACTGGCCAGGGCTGTTTCTTAAAAAATAAAGTATTTACTTTTATATTTGTTGAAATAAGGATTTCTCCAAAACCATTTTCATTATCAGTATTTTAGGTGTTAAGTAATATACTTTTACCATATTTGTCAGTTCAACCTGAATCAAGTAACTTCATCAAGGATGAAAGACCACTGATGCATGGTACAAAATGTTTAATATACATGCAACAAGTATAATCCATCAAGGCAACAAAATACACATGGAAATATTAGCATGTGATCCAGCGTTCTCTTTGGGGGAGGGTATGTGAACAACAAACACTACCACCTAAAACTAAAGATTGAGACACGATTGTTTCCTCATGCACACATTAGCCGTCTCTATAACTAGTATGAAATGGACTGTGTAGAAACCCGAGTTCACATTAGCAGTGAATTTTATACCAAGAGCTCCAAGAAAGGAGTAAAAGTCATGATCCTCAGGTGTTGTGTTGAAATCTGCATCTGGCAGCATGTGAAGATGCACAGGTTACAGCATACATAGACAAATCTGAAAATGTTGGTCAATTATGGAAA